CTCACCTTCTCTTTGGCAGATTCTCTATCAAACGTTGACTGGCATGAAGACCGATCTCACCGGCGCCCAACAGCAGCCAGTGCTGCTCCAGAGCGGGGCGGCATCGGAAGAGAAGGTCACCGCAGGCGAAGCCGGTCACGTCGATGAAGACGGCAACGACGACGATGACGACGACGATGAAGACGATGACGATGATGATGCCGACGATGATGGAAAGGAAGGCGGGAACAAAAAGGGCGCCAAGCCGATTGCTGGTTTGCCAGATCCGTCGACTGTTTCAAAGGCGGTATGTCCTGCATGATGGACTTTGGTGTTGAAGCAGCTTTGTGTCTCACTCCCCAAATTTCGCTGTTGTGTTGCCAGGAGTGGAAGAAACTCGTCAAAGAGCACAACCGCGAGCGCCGTAAAAACAAAATCCCCAAGCACGTTAAAAAGCGAAAGGAAAAGGTGTCGACCACGAAAAACAAGAAATGAGTGTGATTTTGCCTGCTTGTTTGTATGAATCGACTTGATCTTCCATCGATATTGGTATTTCAACAATCACCAAACCGTACAATCGGTAGCAAGAAGGAAGGTATTTCTACGAACACTCGCAATCATCTCTCAGCGGTGCGATTGAGCTGCACATCGCGCCACACGCAGCTGCTCGAGCTCCTTGGCACGCTGCCAGCAGGCTGGGGTGAGCTGAGGTTGCCCGTAACTCAAGCTCAGAAGACTGGGAGCCCGCAACAAACAAACGAACGAGCAAACAAACAAACAAACAAACAAACAAACAAACAAAAAAAAAAACACAAAATAGAAAAAAAAACCACGTCAGAGGCACTGTTGGGAACGCAACAAACATTGCGCGTGTCCAACCAAGTCAAACAAACAGGACAACATACCGTGAAACGACTAGCAGCTGGGAGAAAGTCTCTTGGGTCACTGTACGGTCGGCGCGACGCATGGCCACAAAGTCATTCTGCACTTCACTCTCGAGCTGCTCGAACGAATAGTCGAAATCGCGAGCCATTGTCAGATAGAGGCGAAGTCGCTCCAATGTGGCGGCATCCATCTGCGCAAGCACATCCACGACGCCAGAGGTGACTGGTTCCAGCGGGACGTGGCAGTCGGCCGGGAACATGGACTTTCCAGACGACGTGATGAGGACCTGCAAGTCGGTATTGAAGGTGATGTTGTGATACTCAAAGTCGTATTCAAGAGATTGCCACTGCAGCAAGTTGCTGATTGTGTTGCAATTTTCCGTTCCTGCACGCGAAAACAAAAGCCGGCGATTCTCGATTAGATCGGCACGAAGCAGAGAGTGCCAAAAGGAAGACAAATAAAACAAAGCATACGCACCTCGCGGTTCGAGCTGTGCAGGTTGGAGAGATGTCTCATCAACCAACAAATGGGTGTGGTGAGGAAGTTGGAAGACGCCGCTTTCAAGTTTGCCCAGCGTGTGGTTCTTGAACGGACGAAAGCGCAGCGTGTTCAGGTTGTTCACTGTCAAAGGCAAGAGAAGAGAGTTTGGCACCAGCGCACCCACGGTACGCGCAAGCGCATTGACAAGGCCGTTCGCCGAAGAGGCAATGGATGGCATTCCGCTTTCAGCCAGATCCGGAATGTTGCTAATGTTCAAGGAGAGTTTTCCACACGCCATCAACTGGCGGCGAACATAGCTGGAGATCGAACAGCCAATTCACAACCGAGGAGGTCAAAATACCCCAAAAGTCAGCAAAACGAACAAACGTTGTTGTCTCCAACGAGCTCAAGCTAAGGGTATGCCTTTGGAGCGCACTCACACATTCGACAGCAAGTGAAGAAGCAGGTACTCGGCAGCTAGCTGATCTCCAAGCAGGATGTTGGCAAAGACATCAACGGCATGCGAGCGCAGCATTTGCGCTTGAGCTGCGATGGCGAGGCGCTCTGATGACAAAGACACCCGCGGTCAGCGCCAACTTTGCTGTCTCCACCACCGCATGATGAGAGGAGGTTCCATCAAGCAGAATAACGTACCTCCAGCAAACACGGCTGATTGTGCATGGGGGACCAACGGATTGGTGGATTTTGGCATGGTGAAGGTGATGCAGTGGATTCGAGGCACAAGGGAAGACGGACGAAACTCCTCATGCTCAAACACGCTGAAGCGCAAACGTCACGAGTCACACGCAAAACCGGGTTAGACACTAGATATCATAAAAAAGCAGGAACCCCCCCGCCCCAAACTGGCCACGAGGAAGTGCAACTTACGGCTCTTCAAAGTGATCTTGTTCAAAAGTCAAAATCCCAACCACATCGAGCACAGATGCCACCTTCACGTCGTCATAGCCATGGTAAATCTGCTCACAAGATTGGATAGTTGCCCAGCGCATGAGTCGACGACTTGCTCCACAACAAACCGAGGATTGGAAGCAATGCAGCCATACCTTGATGTGGCACACAGGCCCCGCTTGCTGATACGGCACGGGGAAACAAGTGCTCAACGCGTCAGCAACGGAGAGGGGTGTGTTTGCCTGTTGGCTAGTGACACGATCCAGTTGAGCACGATCTGGGAAATTGACAAGGTCAAGAATGACAGAATTGGCGTGAATGCCTTGCAGGAAGTGACACGGCCGAACTTCTCAAGAAATCGAGCTACTGACCAGCGACCGATTGCACACGTTTGGCGACGGAGGGCGGGACAATGTTGGAGGTTGGAAGCATCAAGGACGGCTCAGCTGGCTCGTCATCCTCTTCATAGCCACGCTTTGAGCGCACCGACGGAGTGGCTGCTGGCGTGGCGACGGGATCAGAAGAAACGGCGCCATGATAAAGAGCAAGCGCTTGGTGATGCTGAGGTTACAACCGCGATTCGACAAGTTGAGGAACCAAAAAAAAAAAAAAAAAAAAAAGATGAAGAAGAAGAAGAAGAAGAAAAAAAGTCCCCACGCAAAATCCCTTCTTGCGGCTCACCTCTTGAACCCAAGGAGCTTCGCCTGGAATGGGGATACCGACAAAAGTTTGCCGGGAGATTAAGGACTCCGACCCATGATCGCACTGGAAACGCAAGAACAGTTCAAATGAGCATGTCCTGCCATTGATAGATTACCACATGTACTCACCTCGTCAATGGATTCGTGGTCACGATAGAGCCCAGACAAGATACGCTGACCATGGGAGCAGCAGGCTGGTGAGTTGGTGCTGGTCGAGCAACGGTTGATGCTTTTCTTTGTGTAAGGGGGGGGGGAAAAAAAAAGGCTGTCGACGCTTACAGTCTGTTGGGCAGCGTCGGTGACGGAAAAGGCAGCGACTCCCATAGAAAGCTCATCTGCAGTGTCTTGAATCATGCATCTGAAGCGAACGAGCGTATTTGGCTTCAACAATGAAACTGGTGTGTTGTTCACCAGCGGGATCTGAAATGATCAGAGCAGTCCAGCCAATGAGCCACGATGGGGAATGTCCAGTATCACTGCAGCCACATTGAACACAATACTCCTGCACATATAGAAGATGGAGGCGCTTACACGGTGATAGTTGGACGGATCGTTGAGCAACTCGAGGTAATGACGTTCGATCGCCTGAGCGTAAGCGAGACTCGTATCGGCCATTTCTGCAGGGCGTGCAAATGCATCTGTCATGCCACATCCAATGTCCATCATGTTGAGTTTGTGTACAGTCCGTCTGCGCTGATCACGGACATGTGCTTTGGTAGCATTGCAACTCGCCCACCACTTCAGTCACAACCAACCCCTGCTGTGCTGTCCCCCCCCCCGCGCGCACCCCTGCTCCGCTCCCCCTTGCTGTCGTTATTTAATCTTACCAGCGGATGAAGCGGCCGCATTGCCATTGGCAGCAGCGTCGTCGTTTGCGACCATGGCTGCGATCGCCGCGCCATGCGAGCCGCCGCGACCAAACATGGATGCATAGGCGCCACCGTGCTGCTGCAGGACGGCAGCTGCGCGCTGCTGCTCTGCAATCTGCTCTTGGAAGGCGTTGGCAAAGTTGGCGTCTATTGCGTGGAGCGCAACATTTGGCAGGTGAGTTTGTTCACATCCACGATCGAGCTCAGCCAAGATGAGTATCACAGCGATGGATCAATGCGAGAAGCAATGGAGCTATTGGCTTGGCGACAAACCGAGGATTTGCTGGGCGACGAGCAGCGGCTGAGCGAGCCACAGTTCTTGCATTTGCGAAGTTTGACAGGAAGCGAACAAGTTGGACTGGTTGGTGCTGGATTCATCATCCGACTGAACTCGAACTTTCATTGTATTATCAAGCATATTCTAGCAAGCGCTTGTATGGAGATGGAGTTGGCAATGCACGAGGGCGAGAATCGAGGCAAAAGAGTCGCTTTGTATGTGGATCTAGTGTATTGTAATCGTGAAGGGCTGCGTTCAAGCTCTCAAGAACTGCATCTCTCATGCTCAGAGATACACAAAATGGCGGGAGCAAGTGTGTGGAGTGGAACCAAGAAAAAAAACCCCGATACAAACACTGTGCGCTGAGACACTCGACCAGGAGCGCTACTTGACCCAAAAGGCATGCCCAGAAAGATAAGGCTGCCATTCAGTGGCAACAGATGCAACCATGTGCGCGACCTCTTCGGGGAGCAAGCAGGTTGCGGGGTCCTTTTGGTTTTTGTTCACGCCAGAAAGTTTCACAATCGGATTAGCCACCTCAGGTCGTACTCAACTTGACGCACAGTGCTCACCTCATCTGGATAGAGCGCTCGGCGTAGCTCGGTCGCGGTTCGTCGCGGCACAACCGTGTACGCGAAAATGTTGTGTGGCTTGCCTTCCAGTGCCAGCGTTTCAGTCAAGCACTGGATGCCCGCTTTGGTAGCCGAATACGCACCCTCGCCTAGTGGTCCACAAAGCAACAACAGAGTCAAGACACGTACACAGCACTGCAAGGCGGCTTGATCTCTGCCTTTGTGTTGATGTTTTTACCAACGCGCCCGCCGCTCACAGAACTTGAGCCAATGTTAATAATGACGCCTCCGCGAGCAGCATGCTTCATAGCAGACATTGCAGCTCGAGACGAATAGAACGTCGAGCTCAGATTGCCATGCAGCAGCTCAAACCAGGCCTCATCGCTCTGTGAAAACCCCCCCCCCCAAAGATATTCGATGAGGACTCGGCACACCGAGTGAACAAATGAGTTGCCATCATCTCGGTACCATGTTGTCAATCTCGACCCGTGCAGCCACTCCGGCGTTGTTCACAAGCACGTCAACGTGACCCCACTTCTCGATCACGGTCTGGAACACCCGATGTACTTCTTCGGGCTGGTGCCAAGCAAAAAACAAAAAACAAAACAATCAAAGGCACAGTCAGGTCGTAACGGTCCATGCAGGACATGGCCAAAGGTTCGATGGGCTTCCGCACCTTTGAGACATCTGCAACAATGGCCAGACCCTTGATGCGCTCAGCCACGGCCAACAGAGGCTGCTCATGACGTGCAACCACTGCGACGCGCATGCCTCTGTTGCTGAGCGCCACAGCAATCGCTTCGCCAATTCCACGGCTGGCGCCCGTAACAATTGCAACGTTGCGAAGGCGCTCTAAGTACCCAACAAGCACGCGGGTGGGTTACATGCCAGGCTTCCACCAGGGTTGCCCAATGTTTCCAGCCGACCCATTCGACACGTACCTTTGATCATTTGCTCGGCCGCGTAGATGTCGGGTTTGTGGGTCACTTTCCAGAGCATAGGCGTTCCTTCAATCAACTTTGCACGGGTTCCAGCGTACTGCTGCGCAAGATGCAGACACTCGGTACCAAACTCGAAATCATGCGAAGTGCACTGGAAAAAAAAAAAGTTGTGAGTCGAACGGATCGCGCACCTCCAAAACAACAACAACAGCAGACTGTGAGCAGACTGTGAGGGCTCCACCTTCGCGTATGCCTCGGCCATCACGGTGAATTTGAATGCTTGGGGTGTTTGGCTTGCGCGGTACTTGTTGCTGCATGGAGTGAGAGAGCATGCCAATTCGTGAGCAACACATCGCTGAGCAGGAACGAGTCCACTGCAGATTGTACGCACCGATCCAATGAATGGTCGAGAAACCCATCAGGCGTGGCCATGATCACGGTAGACACCAAGGGAAGAATGGTACCTGCCGCCTGCAAAACGAAAAAAAAAAAAAAAAAAAGCAAAGAAAAACAGGAGGCCAAGGAGCCACAGCGTCAGATCAAAAAACTCGACCGTGCAAACCCCCTTCAATGAATGCAACGTACGCCATGGTCTTGAGCAGCTTGAGCCACTTGGCGAAGGGTATCTTCGTCCACAAAAGGTCTCACCATGTCGTGAACAATAACCTGAGTTGTTGGTGGTGTTTGTTTTTTTGGAGTGATCAGAGCAATGCTGCAGGAATCCGTTGAAATTTGAAGCTGGCGTTCTCATACCACATCTGGCGGTGATGACGTGCTCGACTGTACGCTGCCCAATGTCGGCAGAAGCGCTTTGATGCCACTGTAAATGGAACTGTGGCGAAACTCGGCACCCAGCACAATGTGCGTTTTCTTGAAGCCCCAGTGTTGGACATCCTGTCAGAGTTTTGGCCGCACCCAGTCAGTAGGGCGGCAGGATGTGTGTCGCCATCGAATGTACATCACGTCAGCAGTGCCAAGAGCGACGAAAGCGAGCCCAACGATCAATGCCAGACCGAAGACGCAGCGAACGCCTGCATTATTCATTTTTTTTTTTTTTCCCTTTTCGCTGACGCTTGATGAATTTGACAGGACTGACCTGCTTCAGCGACTCGAGATGATCCGGCGCCACGGGTACGACGATACTCTCGAGCCACGGAACGCTGTACGAACGCAGCCGCCGACGCGAGTGAGCAAAGCGCAAGGTACGCACGAGCGACGAGGTTGGATGGCGCAGAGACGAGATGAGATGAGATGGGAAGGCGCGAGTTTGAGCTTCTCCTCCCCGGTGCCGTTCAGCAAAACAAGCGACAAACCAAGCATACCTCTCAAACACTTCCAAGGTGTAAAACAAGAGCGGCTTTCCATTGATGGGCCAGAACTACCAAAGCAGAAAAGGAGGGCATACCAAATTCGACGTCAAATTCATTTTCACGCCCCTCCCTTTGAAGCAGCCGGAAAGTCGAACGGCTGCGCTCTCCAGCAAAGCAACAACCATCCCGAGCAAATGTGCAATCACTGCCATGTGGGTTGCAGAGCTAGAACGCAGACCTGTTTGGGCGTCGCAGTGCCGACACGCGTCCCAGAGCCGCCAGCAGGCAACACTGCAGCGACACGAAATCCGAGCGACGATGGCAAAACAGCGTCCATAGCAATAGAAAAAAAAAGGAATGACTAGATTGTATTCAACAAACAAACAAAACAAACAAACAATGTCATGAGGTACAGGGCAACGAAATATTGCACTTCAACTACAGTGTGGATGAACAAAGTCAAATTGAAAGCGGAAAGCAGAGGCAGATTGTGTTCACACTAGCGGACCCATTTCGCGCACGGGCGTCCCATCCTGAAGCGATGTCAGCACCTTGACGAGCTGAGAAAAGCTCGGTCGGAACTCCGGTGTCATGTTCCAGCAACTCATCATCATGTTGTAGAGCTCGAGCATGCAGTGCTCCGGCTGGGGCAGTCGACCACCAGCTTCCACATGAGCCAGGGTATCCCGACCGCTCAACTTGCCGTAAGGCATTTCTCCGTAACAGCAGCATTCCCCTGCAACCAAACACCGCGATGAGTGACATACAAGCGCTAACTTTAGCAGAAGACTGCGATACTTACAGGCTGTCACACCAAAGGACCAAACATCGGACATGGACGAGAACTTTCGGAAAGTCATTGTCTCTGGCGCCATCCACTACAATACAAGTGGATTCAACGGAATTAATACATGTATCAAACTCGCAACCCTTTCAAAGGAGCCATTGACCCACCTTCACAGGAAGTTTGCCACGCGTTTCCATGCGGTAGTAATCATTCTCGTCGGCCAGCTCGCGAGAAAGTCCGAAATCGGCAATCTTGACCACCATGCCTTGGCCCACGAGGCAGTTGCGCGCAGCGAGATCGCGATGCACAAAGTGGAGCGTGCCCAGATACTCCATGCCGAGTGCAATCTGACGAATCGCATTGATTTGCTCGTTCTCAGACCACTTGAATGACTGTTTTTTGGACTTTTGCAGCAGTGAACGCAAATCGCCGTACTGCACAAACTCGAGCAGAACGAGATGGGGCTCTGACTCGACCAAAGCCGCAAGAAGGCGCACGACATTCGGATGCACAAACGGTGCCATCAGTTTCGCCTCGCTTTCAAAGTCCTTGCGGGATTTCTCGTCTGCATCAGACTTGAGCGACTTGACTGCAACCTGCACGGTTTCGGGCGCTGCAGGTCCAAGCAAGGTTCGCGCTCGTTCGGGCAAGACGCTGAACGGCACTTGGCCCAGTGCCACATCGCCAAAGTTTCCGCTGGCAAGATGCTTCACAATGGTCAAGCCTTCACGAACGCGACGAGAATTGCTGCCAGCAACATACGCGCTTGCATAATCATATACCACCTCCGGAGAGGTCGTTGAGATGGCTTGGTACAACGGCTCTGGCTGCTTTTGACCTGCCGTGGCATAAGCGGCAATGTCCTCCTCTCTATGAGCTCGCGTCGAATGGGGCATGGAGGAGCCTGTCAGTTCCGAAGCCTCGTGATAGATGGGATTGGCAGAGTCCGTCGGTTCTGGCGTCGGATGGGCCAGAGGAGATGTTGTCATTTCAATAGCCTCCTGATAGACGGGGCTGGCAGAGTCCTTTACAGAGTTCTTCGGTCGCGCAGTTGAGCGTCGTTGCAATCGACGGCGTCGCAGCACGATCAAGACCGCTGCAATTATCGCAACAACGGCAACAGAAGCAACAGCAGCAGCGACGGCAGCTGCTGAAGATGAAGCTTGGGTGTCGCTGCTGTGTTGCACAATGGAGGATGCAACGGATGCAGCAGATGCCGATGCGGTTGATACAAGAGAAGCCATCAGCACCGAGGTATCAGAACTAACAGACGCAGAAACTGCCGAGGTAGTGGATGCATCTGAAGCAACAGAAGTGGGCGATTGTGAGGCAATCGACGATGATGATGCAGTAACGGAAGCAATGGACACCTCGACGCTCTCGGTGGTGCTAAACGAGGTGGCACCGCTCGGAACGGGGACTGTTGGGCTGAAGTTGGTGATGGGGGTGCACGTTGGGTTTGTGCCAGCAGACCAGGATCCGGATGCTTGTGTGTTGCTGTTGCAAGTGAACGAGGAAGATCCAGCAAAGGTATAGCCAACGTTGTTGCAAGAGAAGGAGCAGACGGAGTTCAAGGCGAAAATGTTTGTGCAGGACATTTGGCCGTTCGTCGGGGCTGCCTTGGCAGTGCAGTAATTATTGTTGACGACACAGACGCCAGGGTTGCCTGAAGACCACATCTGTGACGAGAGGCACGTCGTCGAGGCTGCCGTGCCAGCGCTCAGTGTGTAGCCACTGTGGCAGGAGGTTGAACAAACGCCATTGATGGTGTTGGCACAGCTTCTCGTGCCACCGCCAACAGCCGTACCGGGAATGGTGCACCAGTTGGGGGTCGCGGTGCAAGGCCAGTTCGGGCCAGAGTAACCAGTGGCACAGGTGCTACAGCCACCTGTGGAGTTGCACGAGTTGCAATTGCCAGAGTTTGTCGTACAGTAGGTGTCGCACGTGCTGCCATAGTAGTCGGTGCTGCAGGTGAACTGTACGTTGATGAAGACGTTGTTAACCATCCAAAAGCCGCTCATAGTGACGTCCGCTGCTGCCGCGCCTGCGGTGACTGGAACGTTGTACGTAACCGCACCGTAGTCGTCATCACCACCTTCCAAAGGCGAATCCCTCTCGATCAAATCAATGCTAAAAGTGATCGATCCCTGTGCCCGACGCCCACGAGTGTTCAACAAGAGCAAGCACAATGTCAGCAATCATCAAATACCAGGAGAGATATCACCGCACCAAAACCCAATTCCACTACATCACGCTTCCACCGCATTCGAAAAGCAAACGATGGGGGACTTACCGTGAATGTGGGGAAATACGTTGCGTTAAAAGCATAATTCCAGCGAGGCGAATTATTGTTGGATATCTCGCCGAGACCAATTTTTTGGGTGGTGGTACCAGCACTTGTGGTGTATGCGAAGATGGATTCAACTTCAAAATCACAGCTCGACATAGTTTCACATTCAGGGCCATCACCGTTCACCCCATAGAATTTCAGTCTGAGCGTTCCAGGCCCGGCGCGAGCAATGCCAGCCAGTAGCACCAGCGAAATCAATGTACAGGCCACTCGCTTCAGCATGGTTGCTAGCGAGGGAGCAGAGGCACAAGCAGAACAAAACAAAAACAGCAAAGCAATGAAACCGAGCTTGGTGAGGCTTTGCCCGAAGGACGATGGTCTAGAATCTCGGTGAGCGAGACAGAACGACACATCCGTAAGAACGAAAAGAGCCAAACTCGTCGTCAGCAAAGAGGGGAGGAAGGGGGACCGGGTAACGGAAAACAGGGAACAGACTGCGCTTCCTAGCAACCACGACGGGCCATCTGCTGTGACCGAATGGCAGCATCATGAGGCATCGTCGACAGGCAGTGCAATGGGTCTCACTCAACGTGTATCCATGACGCAGCCACCAGCACGGCCGCAAACGGGCCGAGACAAGCCCGCCATGTTCCGCTGCTGAAATGAGAGCAACAGTAGAGCAAAAGCACCTTGATTGGCTTTGGTCTCCTTGCAGTGCGCCTCCCACCTCAGTTGTCTCTCGCACTCTCGGACTGTAGAAATGCGAGAGGAGAAGACCGTTCTGGGAACGAAGAGAGAGAAAGAGAGAGCGAGGAGGAGGAGTGCCGAGGGTCAAGGCCAGCTGCTCATAAACAAAGCGACCGCTCGCCCGCTCGCGCGTCCGCCCGTTCGCTTCCACCCCCCCCCCAAGGGAGCACCCCCGCGGCAGCAGTTGGCAATTCCCCAGCAGCAAAATCGCAGTGCAGTCCCGGCAAGACAAGTCGCCAATCGGAAGCGGAAGAGGAAGAGGAAGAGGAAGAGGAAGAGGGAAAGGCGGCTGCATGAGACTTACCGCAAAGAATTAAAAAAAAAACTACAAAAAAAGGATTGCTGTTCTGAGAAAAAAAAAAGCCAAAATTGTCGTTCCGTTCGCCTTTCACTTCCGGACTCGATGCCTTTCACGACGCATCCCTGCGTTTGAATTCGAACAGTGCGGTGTTAATTTTATTTATTTATTCACTTTGTTTGTTTCGGCAAAAAAGTGCACAACACGTCGTTTCTCGGCTGGTCTTCTGAGCATTGAATCAGCAGCAATCTGTTTTTCTGGCCGATGCTCGACCTCTGGAACAAAGGATTGCATGTGATAGAATATGCTGTAATATGATTACTTTGGTACGCACAGGATGGTGCGATGAATAGAACTTTGTTTTTTGTTGTGCTCCGTTTCAATCTCAATCTCAACCTCAAATCTCAACCTCAACCTCAATCTCCATCTCAAAACTCCATCTCAAGACTCCATCTCGGTCTCAGTCTCAGTTTCTATAAACCAACACCAGAGAGACCCAAACCCCCCTCCCTCTCATCACTCTCAGATTTTTGGGAGAGATGAGTGGCCCCCCGCGGTTTGTCCGGTCGCTCAATGCGATCGCGCGCGTGCTTCCCGCACTCGCCCCGCTGCTCATCCGCTTCCAGAAGCGTGTCTACCGTGGCCTCGGCGCGCTCGACCGCTACCGTGCCGAGATTGTGCAGTTCTACACGCCGACAGGTGGCCGAGCGCCGCAGCTCATCATCCCAGCCGACGCCGTCCCACTCCGCCGCGCCCTGCTGACGTACGCGTGCCTGTACCCTGCCGAGGCTCGCGGGGTGCTGCGCGACGCCCGTGTGCTGTGGCGCGACGTCGCCACGCTATGCTTTCTTGGCCGACTCGAGTCGCCCCTCACACGAGGCGACGCTGCCTACTTTGCGCTGCGAAGCGTTCGCGATCGTCACACGGGCAGCGGACACGTCCTGTATGCCAAGATCGGGCGGCTGCTGGCGGATCGGCCGCGCGAGCTCTACTTTGACAACGCCGAGCGCGCGCTGCTCCAGGCCCAGACCAAGATGGCCGTGCGTGCGGCGCTCCAGGCCATCGGAGTCCATGGTCCGCCACTCAAGATGCTCGTGGACGCCTCACATCGGCTGACGGCATCGCCCAAGCGAGTGCAAGACCACTTGCTCCAAATTCGCGGCCCGAACGATCCGCTCGTGCTGGCGGATATCGCCTTGTTGCGTGATTGGGTCAAAGTGCTGTGCGATGCGGCAACAGCCATGCAGACAGAGGGTTTGTGGGCCGAGTATGTCTCGGCGACCGCACAGCTGCGCGATTGGTTGTATGAGCAGCACCCGTCGCACTCTTACCGCGAGTTCCATCTGGTCTTTGCTCACGTCGAGCTCGCTATGGTACGGCATGTACTTGAGCAATTGAACAAGCCGCGCTTGACACCGGCCAGCGCCTCAAAAACCGCGCGCGACGATTCGCCTTCACCCAATTCGAAGCCGTTGAATTCGTTGAGTTTGCACCAGCGATGGGAATTGTTCGAGACTGCCACGGAACACATCCTCACTCAAGCTTTTCCAGCTGCTGCTTCGATGATTGCTCCACGCCTCGATCGGCCACGTCACTTGCGGCGGTTTGTGTATGAGATTGACGAGATTCCCGCGGACGAGCTTCCCGCTTGGCGCTCTGCCACCATGCTTGGCCTGATTTTCACCTGCCCTTACACTGTCTTCCTCGGCATTCTGGACCTCGGAGATGTCAGCTTTAGCATGGTCAATCCGAGCCTGTCCGTTTCGCAGACTGTCTCGGCTGCCGTTCTCGAAAAGGCGGCTGCCGCTCAATCCGCCGCTGCCAGCGCAGTCAGCACGGCCAAAAGCTCTGTTGCAGCCATCAAGCGTACAACCGAGACTGGAGCAGCGTCCGAGCCACTGTCTGATGCAACCAGCGACTCGACACCTGCCGTTGTAGCGAATGCTGTCGGTTCGTTGCAAAACATTATTTCAAGCAACGAGCAAGCAAGGAAGCTTGCCAGTGGGGTCTTTGACGCCTCCGAACGTGTTTCTGCGACGGCAGCGGATGCTGCGCGCCAGTTGACGGAAATTGGTGCCAAATCTGCCATGAGCTTGGTGAGTTTCCTGGTTTGGGTTGTTGGTGTCAGTTCAGTTCAGTCATCTAGTTCAGGCTTTGCTCACCACACCCCCTCCGTAGATCTTTGACAAGATTAAAACCGGAGCACGCCATGGGTTGCGCGACTTTTTGTGGGGCTACAAGCAGGGCCTCTACCAAATCCAGTCCGCGGATTTGATGCGCACGCTGCGTGACGGCGCTGGTAAGACGCTTGCGTTTGTCGACAGCGCCAAGACATACACTGTCGACTTGGCTGAAAGGTATCAGGTCAAGGCGCGCGCAATGCAGGCGTTGGACGCTGCTCGGGACCGCGTCGAGAAATTGACGTCCGAGCCCGACCCGCCACCTCCTCCGCCAACCTTTGACGAGCTGCGAACCAGTGTCTTGAGTGACTTGTCGATATTCTACTCGCGCTGGCAAGCGTCGACGGCAGAGCTACGTGCTGCGCGCGTGGAGACGGACGCTGCACCGCGGAAACAACGATTGCGCGAGCGGATTGTGCCAACCAACGAGGAAATTCTCGAAGATCACAGCATGCTGGCTTATCACACTCAGCTCGTGGAATCTGTGCTTGCCGGGCGCTTCGACCCCGCCGGGACGCTGCTTGACGACGAGCTTTTGGTCCATTCGCTTTTGGGCAACGTGCGCACGTGCGGATATTTGCCTCGGGCCTGTGTTCCCAAAATATCCTTGTTGCAGCTGGCGTCTAGCTCGTCTGCCCGGCGACAGGCGCGTGAGACAGCCCAAAGTACCAGTCTTCCCGCGCTCCAGGACGTGCTCGTCAAGGCGGCTCTTGGGCAGGACTATTTCGACCGCGAGGCTCCGCCAGCCAACGTGTTTGACGACATTCAGGACAAGCTATCCGCGATCGCGTCCACCAGCGTTGACGCGGCTCAGAGAAAGCTGGCCAGCGCCGCACAAACGGCCAAAACGCACACCGAATCCGCCGCCAAAGCTGCGACCGCAGCTGCAGAGTCCATGGGAGCCAGTCGAGAGCGGCTGGAAGCGGCTGTTCAAGGAGCGAAAGCGCGTGCAAGCAGCCTGGCGGACGAGCTCAAGTCTGAAGCGACCAAAGAGGTCCACTGACGCTCCACGCCCCTTAATGAGTTTTCAATCCTAATAGTGCAGTAGTATAAGCTAGCAATAACAATCTATTTATTCTGAGCGAGTGAGTTTGTCCCTTGGCTGAGTGTTTTTCGTTCATCCCGGTCTCTCTCCCTCGCCTTCCCAATGTACTTTTCTTTTTGTTTCGCTTGTTCCAAAATGCATTACTTTATTTTCATCAGTCTCTAATGTTGCAGTCTTTTTTTTTTTTTTTTTTTTTGTATGACAGACGCAGGTGCTGCTGCTGCTGCTGCTGCTGTGGCTTCAGGAGGCCGGCAGTTTGCGCCGCTCCGACTCGCCTGGGAAGCGGCCTTCAAGAAGCACAACCGCGTCTGCACCGAGCTTGCGGGCTTGCTGAACAGCCAGTCGATCAAGGAGTATCCAGGATGGACCATCGGCGAGATTCACGACGCACTCAAGCAGCTCATCCTGGACATACTGCACCTGTCGTTGCTGCAGCAGGTGAACAAACAGCATCACAAAGTGGCTGAACTTGAGGAGGCAGGGGGAGAAGAGGGTCGGTGTGGGTGACTGGTTTGTGTCGCTGCATCAAACTCGACCATCACGGTGGAGAGCCGAGTTGGGGATGGAGACGCGTAAGGGGGGAAGAGGAAGGGGAAGGGGAAGGGGAAACAACGGCGGATGACTGGCGGGTTTTAGTGAGACGCCGTTGGTATGATTGCTCGGTTTAACTAAACTAACACTCACTGATCTGTTTCTGCCTTCCTTGACTTTCCTTGCCTGTTTCGATTTTCCTACCGTTTGGTTCTCTCTCGGTCATCGCCTGCTCAATGCTCAACTGGGCCCCCTGCTTGCAACTGCTGGATGGATGCTCGATCGAATGACAAAATCGCGCTTGTTTATGGCGATCCCCCGACCTTGGTTTACCCTCCGATTCTTGGTCATTGCTTGATGCCCAACGGGTTACGCTTCGACTACCAATCACTCCCTCTCGGCGGGATTGTGCTCAACTTGATGATTGCCATTGTCTGTGGCAACTCGTCCAGCCGGCACAAGAGTCTGACCATGTCAGAATTGCAACTCACATGGTAGCTCAAATTCAACCTCACCTGCACACGCTGATTCTTCTGGCGCTGAAAAAAACCAAAGCGCAAGGCTTTGCAGAGCCATTGTACATGCCGCAGGACTTGCGACTCGTTGTGCAGAGTATTAAAGCACGACAGCAGAAGCTGGAGGAACAGCGACAGCAACAACAGCAACAACAACCACCACCCACCACAACAACCACTACTACCGCAACAGCAACAGCAGTTGGCGCAGCATCAAGCGGCGCAGCAGCAACAACAGCAACAACAACAACAACAACAGCTCCAAAAGCAGCAACTTGTGCAGCAACAGCAGCCACAACCACCTCAGCTGCAACCACCTCAGCTACAACAACAGCAGCTACAGCAACAACAGTTACAACTCCAAAAGCAACAACAGCAGCTGCAACAGCAACAACAACAGCTGCAACAGCAACAGCTCCAAAAGCAGCAGCAGCAACAACAACAGCAGCAACAACAACAACAACAACAAAAACAGCAACAACAATTGGCTCAGCAACAACAGCAACAACAACAACAACAACAACAACAACAACAACAACAGCAACAGCAACAATTGGCCCAACAACAACAACAACGTGCTCAGCCAACGCAACAGCAAATACAACAGCAACAGCAACAGCAACAGCAACAGCAACAACAACAACAACAGCAACAACAACAACAGCAGCTGCTGGTCAAGCTCCAACCATTCCCAAGTACAAAATCGGCTGCAGAGAGTGGGAATGCAGTAGTGACTCAGCCTCAGCAGCAACCACCGCAACAACACCCACAAAACTTGCCGCAACCACAACAGCCAGTTGCCGCTGCGGCTGCGGTGCCGCAAACAGCAGAAGGCAAGCCCGTAGACCCTGCCCAACAAGCTCCGTCTCAGCCAGCGCGTCCAACAACTGTTTTGGACGAAAAACGAATCATCCTTGAGCGCATGCGAAAAAAGTTTCAACACCGCCTCGCCGATGTCATCAAGGCCACGTCCACGTCCACGGTTGCCACAAAGCTGCCGAGATTGCAACAGATCATCATGTCAGACCCAAGTGAAGTCAAAATGGGAATGGAGGCTCTGTATAAAATCGAAAAGCACTTGGAGCAGCACTTTGCACACCAGATTGCTTCGGAAACGGCATCCAGTAGCACGGACAAAGCTACAGGTTTGACGGCGCCACGGCCAGCAGTCCCATCAACCACGCCAGCAGCGGCAAGCACGATACCAACTCTCACCTCCGCCCTTGCTGCCACTGCTACTGCCACAGGCGGAGCTGCCGTGTCGAACGCGCGCCCAGCCGCACTTTCAACAGTCTCCGCTGCTTCTGTCCCAGTCGCTCCGGCTGGCCCCGTTGCTCGGCCTGCCGCCAAGCCGGGATTTGCCAATCTCCACGAAATTGTGGAACAGCTCACCAAAGCCCCGACCTCTCTCCTTCAGTCCATGCGTTCGTCACTGTCCACTCCACTACGACAAGTCTATGCTCCTCCGTGGTCGTGGCGCGATGAATTTTCGTTTACCACCACATCGGGGAGCTCGAGTCAAGAGGCATCGCCGGCGAGCATGCTTGCACCAGGCGTGGCGCCAGCGACCCCCTCAAACGCGTCCGATTCTGTCATGGTGAAGCTGGAGTCCGACACGGGCGACATCTCCCTGGAGAAACAAAACGACGACCTGTCGGATTCAACGGCAATGTCTCGTCCGAAACGCCGTGCGGATGAGATGGAAGAGAGTGACCAAGCTCTGATGGGTGTTTTGTCATCCGTCACACCACCATCATTTTCGCCGCAACAAGTGCCGCGGACGTCGGATGATCCACTGTCCTTTGTTTGGTTTGGCCAGTACCGCAACGCCGGCCAAGCGTCTCGATTCGGGCGTGTTCTATCCTCCTTGTCGCTCTGGCGCTCGCGCATGTCTGTCCGATCTGCGTCCCCAGCGACCCTTTTGGACGTTCGGTCTCCGTTCCACGACCATCACCATCAACTTCATCATCAACAGCATCATTCAGCCCAAAACATTATGCCGCACACCAACCGCGCTGCCAAGGTACTTGAATTGCTGACAGCCACGTCCGAGACAGCACTTTTGGCCGATGTACTGTCCATGCCGTTTCCAACGCTTGATCAGGTGTGCGACGAGTCTGGCCTGCTCGATCTTCTTCCAGAGTCGTGCTTTTCTCTCGTTCTCGATGCTGGCATGTCTGACCCAAGCACCGGGCTTGTCGTTCTTTGGTGCTGCACAAGTATGGGTTTTAGCATGTTTGGGGGTTGGGCGTGCTTGACATTTTTCCCCCGTTTTGCCGCACTCACTGTGAGCTGGTGTCATTGTTGCTCGCCGCTGACCTCTGGTCGTCCGCTTAGAATCAGAATCAGTCTTGCCTCAAGTGCGGCCGTTTACCATTTGTTTTCATGCCGGCTACCCACGTATTTCACCCGTCGTTGAGTTTGATGAAGCGCAGTTTGGGTTGTCGAGTTTTCTGCAGTACTTCCGTTCGCGCGCGGAACAAGTGCTCACAAGTCCCTCCCGCCCGTCGACCCTGACGGATGTCCTTGTGCATCTGGTGAGCAGCGGGCCCGAGATTGTCATTTTTGTTCGTTGCCATTCGCCTTGCGAGAAAACCCAAACTAACAATTCTGATTTTTGTCGTGTTTCGCTTGTCCTTGTTCAGGAGATTGTGTTGCGCGATCTTTCGGTGACTTGCTGAAGCACCACGCTTTGCCGTCTTGTTTCTTGTACCTTTTATATATTTGTACTGTACTGTACCATACACCTTGATACACTAACGTCGGTTGTGATGAAAGAGAATTCTTGAGATTGTTGTCTTTGATTCCTGTATCTTGTCTCAGTATTCTAGTTTCGCATACATTGTCCTATCCACCAGTCTAGTCTAGTCTGTTTTCTCTCCCATTCACTGAGACCACATACAGTACTATGGGAGGAGTGTTTGGCAAAGCGTCTTCTGCTTCCACATCGTCCAATGGCGCAAAGCAGCAGTCGCGCATCACACCACACGACCGCGCTGTTCTCGATCTGAAGAAGCAGCGCGACAATCTCAAAATCTACATTCACAAGGTACAAGCGTGATAGCGTGTGAACGTGTCGTAGTAGTAGCAGGAGCGCAACGCAGCGTCATCAACGCCGACAACCAACGGAGCGAAACTGACCCCCCCCAACTAACTTGGTTATCGCTTGGCCCAAAACTCACAGATCGAAGCTGTTCTGAAGCGCGAGCACGAGTTGGCGCGGACGGCCGTGCGCGAAGGGAACAAGAAGAAGGCGCTGCTGCTGCTCAAGCGGAAGCGCTTCCAAGAGACGCTGATTGAGCGCGCCGAGGGGCAAATCCAGAATGTCGAGGAGCTCACTGCGAGCATTGAGTTTGCGGTGGTGGAGCAGCAGGTGCTGGCGGGCATCAAGGCAGGCACCGAGACGCTCACCGAGCTCAACAACCAGATGAAGCTCGAGGACGTCGAGCGCCTCATGGACGATACGCAGGAGGCTATTGCGTACCAGAACGAAATTAGTGAAATGCTGGGAACGTCCTTGTCGGAGGTCGACGAGGCCGCGGTGCTGGCAGAATTGGAAGAGCTGGAGGTGGCGAGCTCAGCCATTCAGACGGCTCCAGACGTACCGACGCATGCATTGCCAGCGGACAGTGCTGCAAGTGATGCTGTCCAAGAAGCAGAAGAAGCAGGGCAGCCAGCAGGTGAGATGGACGGTGTGCTCAATTCGAAAACTGGCGATTTTGCGTTGAAGGGTTTTCTAACTTGCTGAGTTTCAAGGACCAGAATCTGCCAAAGCAAAAGGGAAGAAACCTGCCACGCAAGCACAGCTCGCAATGTAGAAAAGCAGCTTTTGGGTGAGGGTTTGCATCCTTGGCAGGTCCTCGGGTCGGGTTTGGCCATTCGGCGGGATTTGATCTTCCTTCCTTGTGCCACGGTTCTCTCCCCGTTGATTTGCCATTCATGAGTCGCGTATAGTGCACCTGTCGCGTAAAGTGTTGGGTCGATATTCTAGCTATTCTCCTTTCCAGTCCATATTTTCTGAGCCAAAATCTGTCCAAATCGCTGAGAAATTTGGAACGAACTTCAGACATATGGTTGGTCGAACGCTTGTTGCTGCGTCGAGCATTCTGCGCAGCTTGACGACGTTGCATGCCGCAATGCGCAGCAGCTCGGCTGGTCGGTCGAGTCTGGCGGGACATGCTGCAGCAGAGATCCAATTGTACAGTCGAGCCAGTGACCTGGGAACGACGATTCCCCTGGCGAGGTCGACTCTGGCGATCCACGGCGCGTCAGCATGCTCATTGTCGAGCACAGTGCCAGCGAGACAGGCCTCGTCCGTGGTTGCGTTCGCGCGGAAGCAGAGCCGCGCGAGTCCGTCGGCGTCATCGAGCCAAGCGGAAGCCGCTGCTCGCAGGGATTGGAGCCAGGCGTCGTCCAACCCACCGCAAGTGACGATGCGTCGGGCATACGGAAGCCATGCCCATCAGCATGCGACAGGGTCAAGCGGCGGCGCAGGACTGGCGTACAGCGACGAGGACGCGTTGGCGCAGGAATCGAGTTCACTCAACCTGCCACCACGAGATTCTCATCAGCGGACTCGAGCTGGATCGAGACATGCATCATGGAGTAGTTTGGTCGACCCAATGCATGCTGATCGCCACGAGTCAACTCTGGACTTGGACCGGAATTCCACGCACGCAACGTTCAACTCGTTGAATCCACATTCACGGCCTGATATGCTGTTTCGTCAGATTTGGAACGAGTTGCTTGTGATTGAGCAGCAGGAGCAGCAGAAACTGCAGCAACAAGAGCAGCAGCAGCAGGATCAGGACACAGAGTCACTGAAGACCGAGACCAAGACCAACAACGTCTCGACAAACCGTGTCCCGTTCCTCCCTGGCATTGTCTCGCTGGCCACTGTTGTTGCATTTGCTCAAGACAGCGGTGGTCATGGCTCAGATCTCAGCGAACTTGCCAAAATTATCGCAAAGTAAGCATGTTCTTGAGAGTAAGATTGCCCCATTCATTCGTTTTTCCAACCCTTCACCACATCGGTTTTGATTCTTCGCTTGATCAGACGACAAGCAGACCACATGTCCAAGCTACAAGCTGTTCGCGACCAGCTGTGCCATGATCTGCCTCGGATATTTACGCATGGACTTGCGTTCGAAATGTACACTGCTGATGTGTTGTTTCGCGACGACATCATGGGCCTCCAGGTTGATGGATTGACATCTCTGAAGGTTGGTTTCGAGAGCATTCATTCGTGACTAATTCGTGATTTTTGCATTGTGCTCCTCGAACGCCAATCTCACCGTTCTGTTTGGGTCATTGTTCCTGCCTTTTGCTTTTCCGCAGATCTTGTACAAAGCCTCCAAGAGCGTGGCGCACATTCTTTTTTACGATCTCGAACTCGATATCATAAAAGCGACCATCAATTTGGCCGAAGGCACGGTTCGATTGCGAGTCCATATTGAAGGTGTCGTTCGAGCTGATCTTCGTTCGGACGCTCAGGCAAGTGTGTTGTGAAAAGCGAGGTTGACTTTACATTGGACGATGGATGAAAGCCGGATCTACGTGACTCACTTTCACTCGTTTTGTCGGACAGCCTCTTCTGGATGCGATGGCGACCTTCCATGTGAACGACCGCGGATTGGTGCACTTTGTGGAGATTTCGCAAGTTACCCGCAGGTACCGACACACACTACCATTGTTCTCTGATGCTTGCTGGCCATGTGGAGGAACTGAAGAGGAGAGATTGAAGTGGACTTTTTCTCACGACCGATTTTTTTAATTCGCCGACTATAGTGACGACGATGAGAAGGAGCTCTGCCCGCCGTACGTGCTACCAGGCTGCGCATGATCAACAGCAGTATTGCCAAAGCAGCTGAAGCCAACCATCACTAAAGTTTATGCAATACAAGAAAAAACAAAACAAAAACAAAGACGACCAATCACCCACTCAATCACATCTACACAGACTGGTTGGTCTAAATGCAACCTATTTATGCCACTAGCCGGAGATTGACTTTCGGGTCGGAATACTCGTCCTTGTACTGGTCGTACAGGTCCTTCAGAGCGGCCACATAACGAGCGTGGATCTCGTCAACGTCCTTCTCTGTCGGTGAGAGAATGTGCGGCACTTCGATTGGTGTTCCAACTGCACACAAGTTTGTTCAAGCGTGCAATGAGAATATGGAGGCTTGGAGCAAGAAAAACAAAAACCAAGCACAACTTTGCTACTTACCGACAGTCACGATGGGGCGGCGGTGCGGCAGCAGACCAAAAGTGTAGTTGAACACACCGCGGCCAATGACAAAGGGTAGGGTGAAGCCCAGCGCCTCCTTGATGAAATTCTGGAATCGGCGCACACGAGAGCCTGGGGGATTGGCGGCTTGCGAGTAGACATCGTTTTCGCCAAAGCTAAACACAGGGACAAGGCATGCACTGGGGTGACAGACGGTTTTGAAATGATCGAGTACAAGTGAGTGTGCGCGGCGGTTTGCAGAGATATGCAACGGAGAATCGTGCTCACTTGTTGATGATGGCTTCGCGCACAAAGCCTTTGCGGTTGGCCAGGGTGAGATCAGCCACACCAGGACGCGCGTCCAATGCTTCTGCAGCGCCGCCAACCACAATCAAGCAGGACGAGCCGGGACCCTTTGACAGAATGTTGCGAATCGAAGTCTGAGCAACAAGAACCAAAAACCCGAAACAAAAAAAAGTGAGTCATGAACGTTGTTTCAAGCGCCTCCCGCCTCCTCCTCAATCGGATGTGCAATGACATCGAAAACCAAGTGCTTGACAGCACACCTTGCCAACGTCAGCAAAGTTGAGCGCCATCAGGTAGTCGCGGTAGAACGGAATCTTAAAGTTGACGCCCAGAGTCAGAACGCGCGTGTCGATTCCTACAAGAACAAAACGAGATCTTCAAGTGAGCATTCGTGCTTCATGTGCGTGGGTGTTGTTCCAATGTCATTGAAGCAGGAGCGAGTCGCACGTGCAAAAATGGCGAGTTGGAGCGGTCATCATTCGGAAATCACGTTTGAAAAAATCACGCAGAGCGACAGTCGACCGAAATGGGCCACCCCGAACCCCAACCCCAGAAAGTGACCACTGCATCTCAATGAGTTCCGCTTTCATCGCATGTGAAGTGTGGCAGAGCGTGGCTGTGACGGCAGTCGAATGAACAGAGACAGGAAGCACACTCACCTGGGAAGAGCTTGGACACGTTGCTCGCCTCAGTGCCAAAGTTGATGCACGCGCCCAGTCCAATGATACCTGAGCAAACACAGCAACAACAAGAACAACAAAATGAGGAAACGCACACAAAGCACAGACGGAGAGTCAGAAAGTAGGTTGGTAAGTAAAAAAACAAAAAACGATGCGAAATTATCCGTCGGAGATGAGCATTCTGCTGTCGGAGATTGCAAAAACAACCAACCCCACGACCACTATGACTACGACGACGACAACAACTCGAGACTGACCATGGGGATGGTAGCCAAAGATGTAGTTCTTCTGGGGGTTGAGCTCGGCGGTCTTGATGAGGCGCGCTGGGAAGTACGCGCGCAGGAACCCGAACGGGAATCTGGCCGAGCGGAGCCACTGCGACTTGCGCCCGACGCCATTCTTGGCCGTGCGATGGTCGACGAGATGCATCCACAAGAGGTACGGCACGATGATTGGCTGTAGAGCGAGATGGCAAGAAGGGGAAAGCAGCAAAGTCAGTGAGTCAGTGATGGGTTGTGTGGTGGGGATTGAATTGGCTGCGCTCGAACTCCCTCTCACCCAGAAGACAGGCACGGTGAGCATGAGCAGCGCTGCGAGGATGCAAATCAGCTGCTGCGACAGGAAGATCATGACGGCGAGCGTCTCGAGGCGGCGCGACAGTGGCACGTTCAGTGGAGCAAACTCAATCCTGCGCTGCTGCTGCTGCTGGGTGGATGCTGCTGAGGCTGCTGATGCGCCATGCGATGCTGATGTTGTTGTTGATGTCGTTGTTGTTGTTGATGTTGTTGTTGAAGGTGTAACGAGCGCGTCAGTGCTGCCGTTGCTCTGCTTGGTCTTGCGATTTGACTTTGCTTCGTGCTGCTGATCCGTTCCCGTCATCACAAAACCAACGCAAGAGAACTGAGTGAATAAAGAGACTGAATGAAAGAAGAAATACCATCATCAAATCACTCACTTGAATGTATGGTCGCGGTTGCATCAACCCAAAATTGATTGTTTCGAGTCGTTCAAGTGAACGATTTGCTTTGCTCAATCGTCTGCCAAGCTCAAGTCAAGTCAAGTCAGTCCAGCATCAAAATCTCCACTTCAATTGCGTTATTATTGGATTCTCAGATTTGAACCAATTGTTTTTGGATGTTGATCAACAACGCAAGCAGGAGTGTGCTGACCTCGAATGCTTTGGCGGAGTGTGACGTCCAAACAGCATCAACCAGCATCAACAGCCTGATCAAACAGCTTGTGCCTTGGGGCATGGTGGGGCATGGCTGCTGCTGCTGCGGATGTTGGAGTGACAAATAGAATCGTCTGCAAAGTTGCTCAGTGCAGCAGCAGCGATCAGAGACTGGTGAGCAGGGTCGAAATCGCTCAGAGAATCCACTCACTCTTTGTGATTGTTGTGTTCAGGTTTGCCATGTCGCTGTCTTACGAGGCGATGACGCCAGAACAGCGGAAGTTGTATGAGAAAGTCAAGAATGCGAGTGGCGAGCTCGAGTAAGAGAGCAAAGACAAAATCAAACAGCCGAAAGTGCTGAATTATGACACTGACAAGCGTCGAAAGTTGGAATACGGTTGGCGATGCCGGAGCGCAGGCAATTGCTGAAGCTCTCAAGGTGAACACAACGCTCACCCAGCTCGAGTAAGTTGACTGTCAGTGATGAATGAGATCGAGTGACAGATTCTGGTTGCCGAACCGTGGCACTAACAGTAGCTTGACAGCCTGCCGTACAATCAGATTGGTGATGTTGGAGCGCATGCAATTGCTCAAGCACTCAAAGTGAACACGACGGTCACCAAGCTCTAGTAAGTTGACTGCCAGTGATGAATGAGATCGAGTGACCGATTTGAGCGGCCGAATCGTGGTGCTCACGTCGGGTTGACAGCCTGCTGCGCAATCAAATTGGTGATGTTGGAGCTCAAGCAATTGCTGAAGCACTCAAGGGGAACACAACGCTCACCCATGTCAAGTAAGTTGATGCCAGAGTTTAATGTGACAGATTCGGGCTGCCGAACCGTGGCACTGACAGTTGCTTGACAGCCTGTTCCACAATCACATTGGCGATGCTGGAGCGCAAGCAATCGCTGAAGCACTCAAGGGGAACACAAAGCTCACCAAGCTCTAGTAAGTCGCTTGATCAGCCAGATTCAACGACTGGTTCTTTCACTCAATGTCTCGACAGTTTGGGCTGGAATAGGGTTGGTGACGCTGGCGCTCTTTCCATCTCAGAAGCACTTCAGAAGAATACGACCTTGCGAAATCTCAAGTAAGCGTTTGCAATGTTGAATGCCCAACCGCAGCATTACTCACAGATCAATCGGTAGTCTGGCGGAAAATCGGATTGGTTATGTGGAGGAAACAGTCTTGCGCCACAGTATCCATCCAACCTTTCAGTTGTACGTTTTCCGCGTTAGTCCGAGTTGTTCACCAACCACCCATTCTGCTCTCACTTTTCCTCTGCCACTTTCAGACACATTGTGAATCAGCGTCGATCTGGTTCTGTTCGATGCCAGGAAGTTCGCGTGGTCGTGCTTGGCGATCCTTCCGTCGGCAAGACCTCGCTTGTTCGGGGAATCGCCGACGGATACGTGCGACAGGCGTTCTCCAATATGTTCAGCATTGCCAATTCCACCGATGGCATTGACATCTCGACAGTCGTTCTGCGCAAGACAGTCGTTCTGCGCGAGACAGTCGATCTGCGTGAGGAAGACGAATCCATGATTTTGATCGTTTGGGATTTCGCTGGTCAAGAAGTCTATCTGGTTTCGCACCAGTTCTTTCTTCGTGAACGAACAGTCTACCTGGTCTTGTTTGACGTGCGTGAAGACTTGTTCCTCAATTCGCGCCTTGAATTTTGGCTACGCAGCTTGCACGCTTGCGTTCCCAACGCCGATATCATTCTCGTTGGAACCCACATTGATGATCCGTCGTACACTTCGGAGCGGCAGCAAGAGCAAAAACAAAATCTTGCCAGTCTGTTCTATATCTTACACGAATCAAGTGTCGACTTTAATGTGCGTTCGACCGTCTACATCAACGCACGGAACTCTACGGGGGCCCCGAGCATGCCGGAACTCAAGACTGCATTGTTTCGAGCCGGACAAAAGATGCCGTTTTACAATCAACCGGTGGATGGCCGGTACATCCGGTTCAGAGACTCTCTACGGAAGCGAGCCGATCAGTTGACCGCCCAAAACAAACCACCCCTCTGTCGATGGCATGAAATGGTCGAGCTTGGCCAGTCACTGCGTCTCAGCGGGCGAGCAATCGATGCGTTCATGGAGCTCTTGCGTTTTCAAGGCTGGGTCGTTTTCCATCGTCTCGCCAATTCAGCGACCCCAGACACGTCCAATGTTCCCGCGCTGCAACCTGCTACTCTCCTCGCTTCGTTGGACGATATAGTCATCTTGAACCCTCAATGGTTCACGAAAACAGTCCTGACTGGAGTTATTACCCAGAAGCCTAAAGATCGATGGGTCAAGGATGGTATCGTGACTCGCAAGGATCTGCTTCGAAACGCTTGGAAGGGCATCGATTCTGCGATTTGTGATCAGTTCGTGCTGCTCCTTCAGCGATACGAGCTCTTGTACAAGATGAGCGAGGGCGATGAGCCTGGAACCGATTCTGCTTCAAGCGCCGAAACTCGCTATGTCATCCCTTCGTACCTCCCAGCCTACAAAGCCGACCCGAACGTATGGTCATTGAAGCCTGAAGCGAGCGAGCCGCATGAAGTTGCCATTGTGATGGAGACCAAGTTTCTGCTGGAGGGGTTTTTCGCGAGGCTGGTTGTGCGCTTTCACGAGCGGAAATTCCGTTTGACGGCGTGGAAAGATGCTGTTCTGGTCAATTATGGCGGTCCTCGAGCACTGCTACGTGTTCATCGCAACGCTTCCAATGTGCGCCTTGAGTTTACCGCTCGCGGGAAGCATCCAGAGGAGCTGCTGCCAACCCTGATTGAGATATTGGACAATCTCAGCTCGGATAGGTATCCTGGAATTTCATGGGAAACTTATCTGCGCTGCCCCATGCACCAGCCTGATGACAATCGAGAATGCAAGTTGACGCTGCGACCTCAAGTTCGTGATGCAGTTAATACCAAAATGACCTTGTCTTGTTCGCACACGCACATCACGTTTCCAAAGGAGGAATGGCTTCCAGTTCTCAGCTCGCTTTTGCAGCGTCGCTTGAACGCTGTTTCGCAACCCACGCCGGAGGATGTCAAGGCGCTGCAGGAACTCGAGCCGCAACCGGCACCGGCGAGCGAGATCCAAACAGCAGCCACGCAAGTTGCATCACTTGTCGCAGCTCAACTGCAAACGCAGCTTCAAGCTTTTGCGACTACCAATGCGCAACATTTTACCAACTTTGCGACTGAAGCAGCAAGGAACTTGAAGAGTTTCCAGGAGGCTCTGGACGTCGTCTTTGGATCAATTCCAAACGAGGTCAAAAGTAATTCTGTCGAGTTCGACAAAGTTCTGAAGCGCATTGATGAGCTTGCCGACAGCTTGATTTCGCGGCTGGACACGGCAGAATCTTTGCAAAAGGAGCAGAAAGACGAAATCGCTCGTTTTTTCACGAGTCAAGTCCAAATGCAGCTGGACTTGCTGGACAAACCATGCCCGTTGTTGTTTGTCGTGATGCCCCCGGCTGCGACCCGGAACTGGTTTTCCAAGCTCAAAGAACTTTACAAGTCACGCCACACTGCGCACCTGCTGTGCGCTCACATGGGTACCAACAACCAGCCCGAGTGGCATCGTATCGACAGTCATCCCGGCTACGAAATTGCCAAGTTTTCAAAGTGGCTGAAAAAGTATGGCCCCCGTGTTCGCAGCCTGCTTGAGTTTGTGCGTCCGTTCCTGAAAGCAGCCAGTTTGGCTCCTGGTGGACCAGATGTAACGGATGCGGTTGATTCAGCCATTACTGCTTTGGAAGACCCGCTCGAGGCTCTGCCCTACTTGCAAAGATTGCTCGACCACGCTGACGATCAGAAAAAGGTTCCAGCACGAAAGGAAAGCAACCAGCGCCTGCATCTGCTACTTCCTCAGAAGTCACACACTCGTCCCAAGAGGCAGCAAGGGAATGGGCTGCTTTCCTATCCAAGAACGACGAGTACAAGTCCTTTGCCGGTTTGGAGCGAGCTGTTGTGCTCAGCACGGGCGAGGTTCGTTGGGTCTGTCCGAAGCATGCGCAAGAGCCCATCTATCGCACCAGCTCCATTTCGAGCAGCTCGTCCGCCGGGTCCTCGAGCAATGCTACAAGCAGCTCTTCCAGTGGCAACGTTGCGAGCAGTTCCTCCGCGCCATCCATTTCAACACCGTGATGCAGGCACGTCGTGTTTTGTCTTCACTCGCTGTCAAGATTGTGCTTTTATGTTTCCATTGTGTGCGTTGATGTTCAATGCAAATTCGTCTGTGATTCAGCTTTTCACCCGGTCAATCGCTCGCTCTCTCATCCAAGGCTCCACCCCCTTCACAAATTCAGCAACTGTCATCTCAAACCAATACGACAGTGTCGACCTTTTCCTTGCCAAACCAGTCGTTCTCTCGCTCATCTCTCAACGAACGAACTGCAGCGAATTTTGAAACCAACACCCAACCAGACCTCAGCTATGAGCTCACCTGCGCCGTCCCCGTCGCCGTCGCCGTCGCTGCTCACGTCGCACAGCAGCCACACACACATGCAAACGACGCACAGCGCCACTGCAGCAACGGGAACAGCAGCAGCCGCGTTGAATCACAGCGGCAGCGCACCTCTACTGGCCACGTCGTCGTCGTCAGCTGCATCAACGCCAGGACCCACCAATGCAAACCCAGCAGCAGCTGTTGCAGCGGTTGCCGAGTTCTGGTCGACCGTGGTTGCCCTTCCGCAGCTGCAGGTCGGTGCACTGGCTTGGTTGACTTGGGGATTGAAAGCGAACAGTTTCGCTCAGCCTTACAGAACTCAACTCAACTCAACCCAACACCTCATGCTTGTGTATGTTGCAAACCTGTTGTGATTTTGACAGCGTGAATTGGATGCATCTGCACAAGTTATTGCGGACGCGCAAGTCGAGGGCGACGCGAGCCGGAAACGCCTGGTTGAATTCACGCGCGAGTTCCGCAAGACCCTCAGCGAAGAGACAAAGACACTGATCAAGCCCATCATGACAAAGTATCAGACAGAGATTGACACGCTATCCAAGCGCGGAAAGAGCGCAGGTGAGGGGTTTTCGGAGCATTTACGAGTTTTGTGTTTTGCATTGGCGCGAATGGTGTATCGTCGCGCTTCCCTCAACACAAGGATGCTTCCAAGCAAGCAAACACACCAATGACATGCATGCCCCTGTGATTCTAACATTGTTTTGCTTCCTGCTGTCGCTCTTCACAGAGACGTTCTTGGCCAACGTCTACAGGAAACTGGCCGACGCCCCCGACCCTCTCCCTGCACTGCGTGAAACCTTGGCTCTGCAGCAACGCATGCAAAGCGTCCGCGATCTAGAAGTTGAAAATCGCAAGCTGCGAGAAACAATGGACGAGTGCGTAACAACCAAACCACTCCAATCCAATTGTGATTTCTGACGCTGGCTCATCTCTCACGCTGTCGCTTGATAGATACCACAAGGAAATTGCCGACGTGAAAAATCAAGACGTGACCATTACGCGACTCAAAGAACGTGTCAAAGAGCTCGAGCAAGGCATTGATCAATCCGTCAAGTCGAAAAGCAAAGCCGCCGAGCAGCAAATGCAAGAAGAGTTTTCCGAGCGCGAGCGGGCAGTGCAACAGCAAAAGATTGAGCTGGCAACGCGGCTCGGTCAACAGGAAGGGCTTGCGTCTGGGTTGAAATCCCAGCTTGAGATTGCGCAGTCACAGCTGATGGACTTTCGTGCCCGCCATGAGGAGGAATTGCACGCCAAAGCATCCGAGGTCGAGTTGTTGTTGTCCGACTTGGACCGAGCCAACACCAAGGTCGCCGCCGCAGAGCGACAGGCGGATTTGCTCGCTGCTCAGATTGAAGAGCTCAGTGTAAGTTTTTGCTCTGTCGAATGTCGTTTTTTGTGGACAAGTCTTGATGAAGCTTTTTGTGCGGTGTTGGGAATGGCCCTGTCTTGTCTCCACTTCAATTGGCTGAATCTCGGTGGTGCTTGGTAGAAATCATCGGCTTCCGGCGGGTCGGTTGGCGCGCCTGGAATTGGGGCGCTGCCATCGAGTGAGCTGCAAGCACGGCTTACCCAGCTTGATCTCGAGTTGCATTCAAAGGAAAAGGAAATCTCTCTTCTTGTTGAAGAGTTGCACAAGCATCAGGTACTGCTTTGATTGGCGAGTATTGTTTGATATCTGTTTTTCCACCAAAAACACCTGCTTTGTTGGTTGCCGACGCTGACTGGCATGACTGTTCTGTCACAGGTTGCGACAACCAAAGCCAAACAACTGCACGCACAAGAGCTTGAAGCGTTGGAGGCGCACATTGAAGACGTGACTGCGAACACGGAGCGGCTGGAGCACGAGCTTGAGCTTCGAAGTGACTACGAGGACATTAAGAAAGAGTTGTCCATTCTGAAGATGATTGAGTCGTCCAATCACCAAAATGCAAGTCTCCTGTTCTCGCTTTCGATTGCGAAAAATGGTGTTTTTTTTTTTTTTTTTTTTTCGAAAATGGGCTCACATCCGCTTGCTTTCTCCTTGTGATTAGAATCTCAACTCGGAACCAGGCGGCGTCACCAGCGGCGACACTTCAACAATAGCAGGCAAATCCATTGAAACCTTGCTGCTGGAAAAGAACCGGCTGCTTCAATCTGAGTTGACTCAATTGAAGGTCAACTTGAATTTGCGAAACGAGGTTTGTGTTTCTCTCCCCCCCCCTTTGAGTGCTGTCAGCTGCTGCAACTGTGCAATGCTGGTGGCGGTACATCTGACTTTGCCATGATGCATGTTGTAGGAATTTGCATTGTTGCACCAGGCTCAAGAAGACAAGAGCAAGCTCATTTCCGGTCAACTCGCGCTCATTGCTCAGCTTGAAAGCGATCTCATGAACATGAGCAGTGATACCACTCGCGGTACGTTTTGCATTTGCCGCCACAAGGATTCAAACGATTAGCATTCGACTTAGGCAACTGTTTCGTTTTTTTTTTTTCTGATTTTCCTCCTTCAGATCCTTCCGCCGGCAACCCAGTTCTGCAACGCTCTGCTTCAAGCACAAGTATGTCTTGCCGTCTCTTCGTTGTTTCGATGTCGTCCGATTGTTGCTCCTTGGGACGTTGTTGAAGAAGAAGAAGAAGAAGACGAGAAGGGATTTGACGACGTTTCGCTGAATTTTGCCCTCTTGCTTTCCTTTGCTGCGTGGCTTGCCGCCAGATCACGTCTCGCTTCTCCTAGAGGCCACAAACGGCAATGGATCCGCGCCCGAGACCCCGGATGCAAGCATGCTCGTTGGCGGCCCGGTCGGATTTGCCGCAGCATCATCGAGCGACGCCTCCTCAGCCGGACTGCTCCCAATTGTCGCAGGTCAACGCGATCGCTTCCGACAGCGCAACACCGAGCTTGAAGTTGTATGTGCACTTTTTTTGCTTGCGGATGATCATGTATTTGTCAGGGGCTTGAACACAGCGAGACGAAGACAAAGAGGGGACAACGAGAAGGACGATCGCTGCCTTGAGCCGCCAAGACAGACATTGTTGTGGACTGACTTGCCTTGATCTTGTTTCCCGATCATCACGGATTGCGAGCAGGAAAACCGCACTCTCCTCCAGCAAATGGCGTCGCTGCGCGCGGATATTGATGCGCTGCGCTCTGATAACGTCAAGATGTATGAAAAGGTCAAGTTTCTACAGTCTTACCCGACAAAGGTGAGCTCGCACTTTGGTTGTTCGACGAGAGAAATCAACAACCGGAAAAAGATGATTGCATTCCAACTCTGTGCGCCTTCTCATTCTGGATGCTGCCTTCCCCCCTCCCCCAGGCGTCTGCAACCGGAAATGACGCCATCGAGCGCTATTCCACACAATACGAGGAGCAACTCAACCCGTTCCGAGAGTTTCATGCGCAGGTATGTTGCCACGTCAACCCGTTGATTCGTTTTGTTTTTTTCCCAACCACCCCTTTTTGGTTTTGCGTGCATTTGTATGCACCTCCAAGCAACCAGCCTGCCAGCCCTCGCATTCTCTCACATTGTAATTCTTCTCTCTTGTTCTCCCATTATTTTCTTCCACCTCTCGCGCGCGCGACACAGGAGCGACAGCGCAAAGTGCAAGCCCTCAACGCGACCGAGCGGATTACGCTCAGCATGGGCCGCTTTATCATGTCCAACAAGTACGCCCGCAGCTTTGTCTTTTTCTACAGCATCATTTTGCATGCATTGGTATTCCTGGTCTTGTACAAGCTGTCGTGGTCGCAGGCGTGCCAGGACGAGAGCGCAGCGCTTTGCGTCGATCGCTTTGCCGTGCACATGCGAGAGGAGCATCACGGCCAGCGACGGTGACGTGGTCATTTTTGTTTTTCCGTCTCATCCCCCATATCGATCTGTCTTAGCGCCAACTCCTGTTCCAAGGAAGGCAATTTGAACTGCATTTGAAAAAAACAGTTGAAACAAACAACAAAACGAAAAAAACGAAAAAAAAAAAAAAACCGCCAAGACGTAATGCAATTGGCTTCTATTTTCCGCACTTGTTTACATTACAATAACAAACTTGTGATATTTTCCCCAAAAGCTTGTTTTTCGTGCAAGTTCTTGAAACGGAGGGCGAACTTACGGTGCACTTGCTACTCTACCTGTGTGATAGCGAGCTAAAGGGGGGGGGGCCAGCCATTGCAATTGGGTTTCGTTTGTCATTTTCAAGTATGGGATTAGTCACTCTGAGCGGTCAGTCTTTTTTTTTTTTTTTTTTTTTTTCGTTTTATTTTTTTCGTTTTCTTCCCCCACCACCACTCCCACCTTCCAAAACCACAAAAACAACCACTCGCTTCAATGACCGACTTCCTGGGCCTGTCGCCTGCACTCTTCAGCATGGCGCAGCTGTCGTCGGCCATGTCAGACACCTCCAGCCGCCCCAGCAGCGCGACAGAGAGCTGTCCGGTCTCGCCGACGACCGAAAGCGATGACAAGTTCCCTCGTTTTCATGTCGACTTTGGCGACGCGTACCCGCTCCCGGACGACTTCTCCCCAGAGCCCAGCCACCGGATGGCGCTGACCACCGCCCTGCAGGCACAGGCAGCAGAGGCCGGCGTGGCTGGCGACGACGCGAGCAGCAGACCCAATCCCACTAAATCGCCGTTGTTGTCGAACCGTTCCCACGCGTCCGTTGCTGCTGCTGTTGTGCCCGTGCTCGCCAAGCACGATAGCCGCATCCACAAGAGCAGGAATAATACGACCATCGACACCCACCATGTGGACTGGTCGGTGCACACGGCCTTCTCGCCACCCACATCGTCGTCGTCGTCGTCGTCCGAGTCTCCCACGTCGTCCGAGCAAGGACCAACACAATCGGCCGAGTCGCTGACCGCGTCGTTCCCAGCACAGAAGGCCTCCTTGGCGTCACCCAGCTGTCTTCCATGTCGGGTATGGCTGAGCTCTGCAACTTGGCTTGCATTTCGGTGAAAAAAAGTCTCATCTCGCTGCGAAAAAAACAAACAATTGTTTGCCTCGCTTCCGTTTTCTGGGGTTGGTGTGAGGCTGACGCTCCCTGATTTGTGTTGACAATTTGCACTTGGCATTTTGGTGATTTTTCATGGGGGTGCTGGGGTTGGTGGAGGAAGGGTGGCCGGTGTCAGACAACATGAAAACAAACGCGCATCGTTCGTTCTTCTTTCTTTTGCTTTCGCTCTTCACCGTTCTGACCACGATCATGATTGCAACCTGACGCAATAATGCTGGTGACTAACATTTACACGCTGGTTGGACTTTTGCCTCAGATGGCGCATCGGTCTTGCAATCGGGGGTTGCCTTGCAACCGATGTCTCAAGGCCGGCACGCAGTCGAGCTGCTGCTACCCGCAGCCGTCCAAGAAGGGCCGCAAGAAGAAGAATGCTGCGCATGATGTCGAGAGCCAGCTCCAAGTGCAATTCGCGCCGGCAGCCAACAACGCATCTCAAAGTAAGAGCCTGGAGCAAGTTCAAGCGGCATTGCCTGCCGTCGCAAGTACCGAGTCGTCCTCCTGGGACCCCATTCTCTCGCAGATGTTTTCAGCGCTCGACAGCGCCGGACAGGTGCTCGAGTATCATTGCGACACTGGTCCTGTCGATTCCGAGCCCGATGTCCATCGGTTTTTGCAGCTCCTGGCCATGCCGCAGCACGTGCCCGTGAAGGCGTACTTTGAGGTGCTCCGAGAGCTTGGCGACCTGCGTGCGCGCAACATTGAGCTCCAGTCCAAGTTACAATCCGCCTCCCTGACCTCCACCGGGTCTCCCCGGAATCCAGTCGGGATTTCAATCCCCATTCCGGCACTGCTGGACTCTGCTTTTGACGGAACCCGGATGCACATCCCAACGCCCGACTCCCGAGTCGCGGAGGAAATCAGACGAACCGTGCGCTTCTCATCCGTGTCGTACGCCAAAACCGTCATGGGGACGATCAAAGAGTGCAGTCCGTTGTTTGTCGATCTCTTTGGCGCAACCTCGGACACGGAAATTGTTGGCAAAACATGGCCTCAGCTGACTCACCCGACCTTCCAGAGTTCGTGCAAAGAGATTATCATGAGCATCATCTCGATGCGCATCACCACCTCCGTCACGATGCAAGTCGTGTTTGTGCGCAAGGACGGCTCTGCCTTCCAAGCCAGCTGCACGCTCACCGCCATCTGGCGTTCCGCCTCGTTCGACGGCTGCATTTCGCTTTTGCACAACGATACTGTGATGGAACGACCCGAGTGGAATCTTGATGTGCCCATTTTCGACAAGCCGATGGACTTTTTCAACGATTGTCCTGCGCACGCACTTTTCTTCCACGAAATGCTGCATTTGCCGGAGTCAGTGCACTGAACCAGGCATTATGGTTTTAGGTGCTTGAGACCGCCAGCAGCACACATTCACCCAAAAAAAAAAAAACTTGTGGGAAATGACAGTCCGTTCACCCGCCTTCAGCATGCTTTGTGTCCCCGTCTTTGTGTCATGCCCCTATTCACCCACGAGCAACGAGTCTGTTGTCGTGGATGCAAGCAGCATCGCCATAAGCACGCATATTCCTCTTTTGTTAAGAATCCTCACCAAACCTTGTTGTCCGAGCCTCCGAGCGCGCTCAAGCCTTTTGCTGCATTGTTTCTCGGTCGGCCTTAGTTTGAGAATGTCGTTTGTTGTTATTTTGCTCGACCGTCTCCGAAATGTGTTGAAAAAACCCGTACTCCCTGATAATAAACCCCTCTTTTTTGTTTTCTTCTTCTTCTTCTTCTTTTCTTTTTTTTTGTTTCGGATTGACAACAATCGACAAGCACACCAAAAATACACCAAAAACAGACGGAACCCTGTTCTCAAGAAGAACAACTCACCCGCAATTCAGCAGCCCAGGACGGAGGACGCGAGGCGTAGCCAGCCGCTTCGGCCCAATCGTTCACCTCAAACGGCTGTTGCAGAACGTCGAGTAATCGCTGAACGGACTGCGAGTTGCCATCGCCGAGGTATTCCTCAATGGCCTGCTGGGCCATCCAATTGCGGAGAATGTACCGAGGATTGACGGCATTCATCGCCTCGAAAGTCACCAGGGGATCGCGATTGTGGTTGCGGTGAATGCGCTTGTACCACATGCTCAGCCAGCTGTAAAAGTCCTCGGGCTCGGCTTGAGCAATGTCCTTCAACGCCCACGCGTGCTCGGGCACCGTTTTGTTGGCGACGTGCGTGTCACGAATGTCGGCAAGGAAGCGGAGGCTGAGCGAATAATCGGCCTTGGACAGGAAGAGCAGTCGCTTGAACTCTTGCACAATATGCGCGTCAATGTCTTCTTCATTGTCCAAGCCCAGGCGGCGTCGCATGACCTGCAAGTAGTATTCTTCATGGAGTCGCGCAAAGGCGCCGAGGGCTGTTCGGCGATCTTGTTCAGGAATGAGTTCGGCCAACGCCTGCGCCAACCACATCAAATTGGTGTACGCCACGCTTGACTGCTGACTGAAAGTGTACATGTCGGACTCGTCTGAAGCATTGGGTCGAAGATCTGTTGGTATGGAAACAAACAAAAACAACAACAACAACAACAACCAATCAAAGGTTGGAAGGAGTGTGCAGCCAAAAGTGAGTGTGCGAGCGTCATTTTCGTTGTCAAACGGCACACTCTGGCAACCCGCAAAAACGCTACCCGGATTATACGCCTCCATGAACGCAAACGGTCCATAATCAAGCGTCAGGCCAAGAATGGAAAAGTTGTCCGTGTTGCAGACGCCATGCGCAAAGCCGTATGCTTGCCAGTTCGCAACCAGCCAAGCAGTGTTGTTGACAACGCCGACAAACCATCGGCTGTAGTCGACAGGGTCCTCCTCAGCCAAAAGTTGCGCGGCCCATCCGGCATCAGAGACCCGCGCCCAGTTGAATTGGCTGACGAAATCGGCAACCATTCGGTACGCCCGCAACAAAGGCGAACCCTGACGCAGGTGCTCAAACGTGGTCGGCGGAGTGCGCTTGGAAAACAATTGCTGCGAGTGCTCTTCATTCGATGAAGCATGGAAGAGGGTGCCTGAGAGAAACTGGCTGACGCGCCCAGCGATGCGTCCCATCAGCCCCACGCTCTGGCCGTCCTTGCGCACCAATTCAGGAGCGTGGTGCGCTTGCAGGAATTGCACAAGTTGGCGCTGGATGTCTGGTCTAGACGGTTGGCTGCCGAAGGCTGCAAAGCGCTCAAACGACCCAAATCGCAGCCAAGAAGGACTGGCTCGCAACAGAACGGCCGTGCGCTCTGGAACTGGATGCCCATCGCCCAGGGGGTCGCGAAGCACCGTCTCATCGCCGGCAACAAGTGCGAGCGCGCGTGTTGTCGGAATTCCCAGCGCATAGAGTGCCTCGCTGGCGAGCAGTTCGCGTACAGAGGAGCGCACGACGGCTCGACCATCTCCATCGCGCGAGAATGGGGTACGACCTTGGTGGTTGGCAAAAGTCATAAAAGAGAAGTCCGTCAGTCCACAACCCAGGTAGCAACCATCCCCAAACCCCTCCCCCTCCTCCTCCATCATTGTCGGCGATTTGGTTGCCGTAGTAGCAATTTTCTAATTTTCTGTTGTCAGACTTACCAGAGCCCTTGAGTTGAAGCTCCCAGTGCTGGCCAGAACGTGAAGTGGTTTCACCAAGCAAGATTGCGCGGCCATCGCCCAGCTGTCCAGCCCATGATCCAAACTATTCGCCAAACAGACAGAATGCAAAAAAGAAAACCAATTGAGCAATGAAGCATACACTGACCGCTTTTTTGGGACTGCAGTATGGCAGCGCGCGATCCAATCGTACCTGATGTCCGGCGTAGTTGTGTGCCATTGGCCGGGCATTTCGAGGCAGATAGCTCCCTCCGACAAAACGCTCAAAGAGAGACGCTGCTGCGGCCGAATCTGCCTCAGCGCGGATGGCGGCGGGATTGAGATTGAGAATGCTCTCGACGGCGCGATCGGACAGTGCGACCAGTCGCGGATGCGCCAGCGGCTGAGGCGAGACACCAGCGACATAGACTGCATCGGGAATGTCGCTGGGCGCATGTGCGGCGCGCGCGTCCACCGTGCGAACGGGCAGCGTGTCGGCGGTGATTCGCGAGTGAGCGTCAAACGCCCAGTTGGCAAACTGCGACGGCCGCGTCTTGCCCTCGGTCGACGGAGCAGTAGCAGCAGCAGCAACAGTTGCAGTAGTAGTAGCAGCAGCAGCAGTGCTGGCGTCGGGAGCAGCGCGGTCTCGCTCGAGCGCGTCGGACGTGCCAGTCGGCGCAATGGCATTGTCGACCGCCGACAAGCTCACTTCAGCCAGCATGACCACCACCACCGCCACGCAAGCCAGCAGCGCAGCAACGATGGTTCTCGCAGCAATGGCAGACTGTTGTCGTCGTCGTCGTAGCGGCTGCATTTGTGGCAAGACTCCGACGATTGAGCTGGTGTTGTGCTTCCACAATTGACGACTGCCACGTTGGTCACTCATCATCATCATCATCATCAACCGGATCAGCAAATATAATCCACTAACTGCGCCGCTCATCATTCCATCAAGAGGTGAGGTTGGTTTCAATGTTTATTAAGAATTTTTTGTTTCGTTTTTGTTTTTTACACACTGGAAACGGCTCTCTCGATGCGGTCAACAAAGAGATCAAACAGCCGTTCAAAAACCATTTAGTGGCCGCCAAGGATGGCCTCAATCATGCGCTTGTAGTCGCCAGAGCAGTCCGACTGAACCCAGTTGAGGAGGGACTTCTTGTGGGTGCCAATGAAGGAAACCTTAATCTCCTCCATGTCAATCTCGGCGCGCGAGACGATGGCGCGGACGAGGGTGTCGTCGTCAGTGCCAGCGCCCTTCATGGCGAGGTACATGCGGTTGGCCCAGTAGGCAGCGGGGTCCTGGACGGCGGCAACGACCGTGAGGAAGCCCTTCTTGATGTCACCGCTAAACTCCTTGTCGATGGCAGTCTCGATGGCGTGGCCCTTGATCGCGCCGTACTCCTTGAAGACGGCGCGGAGGTGGGGGTACGAGCGCGAGCCGAGGAGCATGTTGAACTTGGACTCGTCAGTGCCCCACTTGCCCTCGCCGGCAGAGTAGAGGTCCTGGGCGTCAGCCTTGGCCTTGGCGGCGTCGACGGTGGTGCTCTCGTCGCGGTGGGCGGTGAGCAGCGAGACGAGGAGGCGGCGGAAGTGGCCAGAGGTCTCAGAGACAACGTCCTTCTCGAGGTCGCGGCTGAACTGCTCCTTGTAGGCAGCAGTGATGGCCTTGATGGTGTTGTTGTCGGCAGAGCAGAGAATCTCAATGAGGACAGCCTCGTCCGTGCCAGCGCCCTTCATGGCCTTGCGGAGCTCCGAAGCGAGGAAGCCAGCAGGCGTGTTGAACAGGGCAACAGTAATGTTCTCAAAGTTGCCAGACAGCTCCGACTTGATGCGGCCGACGAGGTCCTCGCCGTATGCCTGCTTGTAGGCGATCTTGAGCTCTGTGGAGGAGGGTTTCAAAAACAGAATTGAAACAGTTAGATTTCGAGCCATGTTTGCAATTTTTTTTTTCCAACTTTTGTCGTTTCGCTCAACAATTTCCGACCATGTTGTTGTGTTTGTTGTTTCAAATGTTTTGGAACCCATTTCTATTTGCAGGATTCTCTGTTTTGCGTTCGTCCGTTTATGGAAGTGATTTCCATAAATAATAATAAAAACCAAAACAAAATAAAAAAATAAAAATAAAAATAAAAAAGAAGGGGAATTTTAACAAACGGCGCTACGTCACTGTCGACAGCCGAAACTGACCAAGAACAGCGACCAAAACGCAATGCCAAAGACCGACATGAAGAAAGACAGAAAGACAGAAAGACAGAAAGAGAACGACGTCCATTGACATTGACTGCAATGGAACAAGATCATAGTTTGAAAAAATTAAAAAAAAAGGCAAAAATTCCGAAATCGGTTGCTCATCATCATTCATCGGCATCCATCGGCATCTCACACTTATGCTGGAGTGCGCATTTGTAGAGAGGTGCACATAGGACGACAGAGAGAGAGAGAAAGATAGAAAGAAGCAAGTTGAATGCAGTTCGAGCGACAAAATCGCGAATGCAGGAGAACAGAGCGAAAGAACTCAAAAGAAAGAAAGAAAGAAAAAAAAAAGAACAAAATTCATCATTTTTTTCTGTGTTATTGACTTTTTGACTTACGTTGACGCTGGGCGTTCGAGCGGTTGGCGACGATGGCAATGACAGCCTTCTCGTCGGTGCCTGCAGATAGGTGAGCAACAGAGCGGGAAAGGGGGGGGGTGGAAGTGAGTCAAAATCATCGCACAATAATCATAATAACAAAAAAATGAAAAAATTTCAAACCCATCACAGTTCAATCTCATTCAAATCTCATTCATTCAAATCTCATCTGCACGCACCGATGCCCTTGAAGGCCTTGTAGAGGGCCTGGGCGTCAGCCTCAGCGTTGAAGTTAGCAGCAGCCTTGACAGTGCCGGGCATTGTTGGTTTGGATTGTGGGGTTGGGGGGTTGGTTTCCGGAAGAGGAGTGAAGATGAAAGTTCTTAATTTGGCGCTGGCTTTTGAAGCGCCAGCGCAAAATCAAACAAGTGTGGTTTCGGGAGTGTGTGGCAGGCTTGACGTAGATCAAGGCACAAGGACAACGCGAGTGTGTTTTTGGTGGGGGGTCAGGGACTGCGGAGGGAGCAAAAAAGCCAGAAACTTCGATTATTGTTGTTTCTCGGATTGAGAATTGCCAAATGCGTGGCGTGACGTCGCCGGTCACAAGTCTCTGCCGTTCTGGGGCACTTTCGCCAAGACAGATTGAGCTATTTTGGTTGTTCAAGGTTTACCAGAAAGAATCTATTGACAAACGAATTTTTGGTGGCACAATCAGATCGGTTTTTGGGGAGGATGATCAGTGAGCTGCGGTTTTGCAGCATTTGCCGCCTCGTTCACAGTAGCAACAGGCAAACTTGGGCTTGTGTGCACGCAGCGTCATGACAGTCGAGTGACCAGTATGGCACGCTTCGCGGCATGGCTCGCAGATCCCTACAAGTGCGATTCAGGGGAAATGTCAGATTGATCTCCAACCCTTTTTTTTTCTTTCCCTCAAACTTTCCGCTGTCAACAACTCTTACAGTTCAATTTGCACGTGCCGCATGAGTAGTAGTTTGTGATGTTGCTTGCGCCTTCTACAAAGCTGTCCTTGGCACACAACCGCGGACACTCGCTGCCAAAGACCACAAAGCGAACAGTCAGTGAAGAGACGCTTCGGTTTTTGGTGCAAATCGTGCGCCAACAAACAAGCAATCGATATTCCGTACCTTTCCCACGTCAGTGCACCAGTGAACAAGAGCGCATTCACTGGACGCAAGGAATAGTCTCGCAGAAGCGTATCCTGGGCGCCCGACCAAGGAATGGCAGTTTCACCGGCTTCCGCCTTCACGACCAGAGTGGACGGCGACACGATGCGACTGGAATCCCTGTATCGAGCATAAGCACAAGCACACAACGTTCGTTGCACGATCAGATGAGTCTTAAGGAACACCTCGCCACTCAACACCACCAGACCCTTACACGGCACAAACGAGCAAGCCTGCATCGGCGCTGGCGGACATGATCTTGTCACCGACCAACTCCTCGAAGCGCAGCTGTATTTGCTGAATCAGCCGCGAAACCTTGTCCAGGGGAGACATGACCAGGTCGCGAATGCAGATGCGAACACCGCCGCGCACAAGGTAGCAGTTGAATGCCACATTTTCCGTCTTTGTTAACACGGGTACGTACAACGCACGCTCGAGATGTCTGTTTGAGGTTCACCAAGAGAGAGAGAGAGCGAGAGAAAGAGGGAGAGAGGACCGTGTTTTGTTTAGCCTCAACCCACCAAAGCTCCGAACATTGAGTCGTACTCACTTGTCGCAGCTCGCGATCGTATTGGCAACCTCCTTGTCAAAGCGCGCAGCTACTTGCTTGAGGCGCTCGGCATCGTCCATGCCTGTGGGAAAAATAGGCGATGTGTTTTTCTAATGCCGCAAACTTAAATCATCACTCGCTTGTTCAAGGGTGAATTACCAGCTCGAAGGCGCAAATCTGTAGAAATTCGAGACAACTCCGCCTGCTTGTTTGCTTGTGATTCCTGTGCATTCAAAACAACAAGACATTGGCAACAATTTCAATTTTGTTCAATCGAGCACAACCACTCGAAACGCTCCTCCTGCATACCTGAATTTGAGCTACATAGCCGGACACTGCTCGAGCGAGATGCTCTGTACACCCGGTTTCAGCATGAATAGGTGAGCCCTTTCTGAGCGAGTCCATTGCGGCACGAAATCAACAAAACTCTTTCACCTACTCGCAAACACGCGCTGAAGCTCAGTCACCGCGCCAGAGCTGTCCAGATCTGCGTCGTCATGCACGGGGCTGTTGCTGGCAAGCGTTGTTGGATCATCAATCACAATCAGGGGCTCGTCGGAAGCCATCAGAAGAGCAGGAATTGGCGCTGCGCGGGTCGGGACGCTGCAGAGAGCGGACGTCTCTACGAGGCGCACCAAATGTGCTGCATCGGCAGCCTTGCGCTCTTTCTGGATCATTTCTATTCCACCATCAACGGATCGAGAGACGAATTGAGAGGGTGACGGTCAGGTTTGGACGCGATCAAGCTCTGAAACGGCACACTCACCTAACAGTGCGTCGTACTGGTGGTCCCGCTGGAGCACAACGCCGCCATTCAGCCTTGTGTTGCAGCATGGGCAAACGGATCTAAGCAAATCAGCAACCAAGTCATCACCCTCAGTGAGCAAAGTCGGATCGGAGCAACAGCGTTCTTTCGTTTCCGCACAGTTCTGCAGTTGTCTCGCTTACTTGCGGTTGAGGCACTCGTCGATGCATGACTTGCAGTACCGGTGACCACACGGGATTGTGATTGTCGTGTTTGACAGCAGACTGCAGCAAATGGGGCATGTAAAATGCTCAAGCAGCATTGTTGACTTTTGATTCCCAAAAAAAAAAAAAAAAAAAAAAAAAAAATCCCATCCCAAAATAACTCGGACAGTCAGCGTTTATCAAAGCAGAGGCGCCAGCTCGCTCAGCCAGTCTCGACCCGCTGTAGCTTCGCGCGCAACACAGCATGACAATATAGCAAGAATATACGACATGGATGTACGCACCGAAATTAGGTCGGGTGCTTGCAAGGAGAGCGTTGACATTGTTTGGTTTTGTGTTCGGTGCTTGATTTGGTTTTTGGAATAGACTGAGCAGCTACAAATGCCCCCTTCTGAATTCTAAATTTACCCGAAACGACCATTGTGCATGCGTGCAACGAGGTGGTACTCTAGAAACGCTTGTTGTACATCAATAGCAAGCAACACTCAATCATGCGAGCTGTCCGCTTTGAAATAACGCGGCAAATCGCTCAATATCCTCGGTAGTCTGCACGGATAGCACATCTGCAGGGACCTTGTACGCGCCATATTCGGATGGCTGGACATTCATGGGCGAATCCACGACGCGAACTTCGACCGTTTCCCCTGAAAGACCCTCTAATTCCTCCCAGTCAAAGAGCGCCGTGCTCGTTGGCGCGTGATATGGGTTGAAATCAACCAGTTTGATAATTTCGCGCGAGGGGTTGACGTACATGTCAAAGACATCTGCTCATCCATCGGACGGAGTGAGAAAAAAATGCAGCCAATTCAGATTTTCGTCCGCCGTCGCTCAACGTCCGTTCAAGAATTCAAGAAGAGAGGCGATCATCAATCGGCTCAACCGGTTCAAAGCGCGACCTACAATCATTGTTGGGAAAGTTTTCGCGCACATGCTCGGCGAAAAATTCGGCAATCTGCAATCGGATGGTCGCGCGCATGCCGGGAAGAAAATCATAAAAGTTGGACACGTCGCGTTGTGAGATTGCTGTACAAGGTTGGCAAAGGGAGAATACGTGTAAGTTAGCAGAGTAGCAAGCATCAGCATTTAACGCCCAAAAGCTCGAGACGGAACCCGAAACTAAAACCGAAAATCCAACTCTCTCTATCTCTTACCGATCAACTGGCGATTCCGAACAAAGCACCGAAACTCCATCGACCTCAGCAAGTCGTGCCACCGCCGCAATGCAAGGAACATGGGTACAGAGTCGGGCTCATCGTGCAGATCCGAGCATTCGTCAAATCTGCCAGAGTGGCATGGTCAAACCATGAACCAGACCATCCTCACAACACCTTCCACAACCACCACCAGCAGCAACACTTTGAGGACGCACGAGTGGCAGAGGTCGTGAACAATAAAATCCGAGCTCTTCAGCAACAAGAACACTTCGTCTGCGCTGACACACTTGATGGTGCCTCCAGGGATGATCCACGAGGCATCCTATTCCAAAAGAACAACGGTAGTCCCTGCAGTCAGCACAGCGGCAAGTGTCTCGACAATGGTCGCAACCCTGCTTGAGGTCTTTGAAACCCAGTTTGACCATCGTACCTGTGGAGCACTCCAATTGAGCTTTGGAAACACGGGTCCAAGCTTTGCAATGGCGGCTTTGATTGCGGCTTCGAGTTCGGGGAAGTTTGGCGCCTGTCGACAAAGCAAAAGGCAAAGACATGAGACATCGTGTCGCAATGCGCCATGTGTGAGGAAAGGGGTGGATTGCAGCAAAGTGTCATCACCGCCACACGAGTGACGCCAAGCTCAATGTCGCGCATCCACCTTTCCCCACTTTAGAGAGCAAAGTGCTCGACTACCACAACCCCCATTACATCCAGCGCACATGGAGACACACAGAGCGACACACATCAGGGTCGGAACTCACGGTCGGAGCAATGCTGTCGGTCTCGCTCTGGCTCTGCTGCTCCCAGTCGTCGTCGCTGCTGTCGTTGCTGTCAAACCCAGACGCTGCCACTCGGTTTGGCTGTGCCAGTGAGCGTGCCGTGCCGGCCAGAGCAGAGGCGCCGTCGTCGTCGTCGTCGTCGTCGTCGTCCGAGTACGAGTTGAGGTCGCGTGGATCCACCTTGCCAATGGACGAGCTGTCAATCATGAACACAAGGGCATTCGAGGGGGTGGAGCAGTACAGTTAGATGACATGTAGGATGAGCAAAAGCGAATAGACAATCGCTTCAATGGAAGCCACTTCTGAGATTTGGAGATTGTTGTCGCTTTACTCTTTCGACAGGAAGACGCCGTCGGCAAGCAAGTACTCGACAAAGTCCGAGGTCAGGGGCAGGATTTCAGTCCGCAACGACACATGCTTGAATCGCGGATACCACGATGGCAGTGCGCAATTGAGCACATGCTGGCGGGTTGGTTTCGCGGGCATTCTGAGAGAAGAACGAGAGAAGGCAAAAAAAAAAAAAAAAAAAAACTGAGACTGAGCCGCCAGAGAACAACAGATCAAACTCTCAAATGGAGTGCGTAGTGTACTTGATCTATTACAATTTGCATTGACACTACATGAACGATCCAGTCGTCCTCTATTCAATGCCGGTTGAAGAAGTTTCGTATGAGCTGCAGCGCGACGACTTGCCGTCCGATCGTCAGCCAGCGTCACCGCCACCGCCACCGTCGCCGTCGCCAACACTCGGCGAGCGTCTGAATCAGGTTGCGCCGTTCATTGACGCGCATCTGCGGTGCGTGATTTTTTGTTGACAGTTCCGCGACGTGATCTTGCTGATGACGCTGACCTCGGTTGTCTGGTTTTTTTGCCAAGACACAGCGAACTCCGCACTGCTGCCACAGTCTCACTCGGATTCGCGACTGTGCTGGTCGTGATGCGTTACTCTCATCATGTAATATTGTTCGTTCATTTTGTGAGCGGGTGAGCGAGGCGCAACGCCCTGGTTGCCGGTCGTAATCTCAGCAACAAAAAGGCTCACCATCTCAACGCTTTGGGTCTCGCACAGGTCACGCGTTGGACTTCGACTGCTCAGGTGCCGCAGCAGGCAATTCTAAGTCGAAAACGGATACGAGCAGCGGTTGTTGGCGTCGATGTTCAGCAACAGGCACTCCAAGTGTGGCATTTGCCGCTATGGCGCGTCTGGTTGCGCAGCTACAATTTGCCGCCAGCGGGACACATGGCAGGTCAGTCGAGTCTGAGGGGGGAAACAGATTCTGGATATTGTAGAGCAGTGGCGATTATTGTTGATCATGATGGATGCGATGTGATTTTGACAGACACCCTGCTCGTTCGGTTTCCGGGCGTCCAGCTTGCAACAGACGAGGAGAGCGTACTTGCCTTGCACAAGGAACTGTGCAAATCACCCCGTTCATCCCAGCCTATTGTGTTGAACTTTGAAATCCTGACAACGACCAACGCAGTTCGCGAAGAGCTTCGGAAAGCACTTCCGCAGGCTTCCGCTGGAGGCCCGCTTTCGTCCCATCTCATCAAGTCCCCAGGACGATTGCTTGGCGAGGATGTAAACGCTCTACTGTGTCATGGCTGGCGATCGAAGGTAGGTCGACAAAGTGGCAACTGAAAGACTTTTTTTTTTTGTTTTTCGGCTTTTTCTTTTTCGTAATTTTTTAATGTTTCCGCCATGACCTCAGCTCTCAACACTCTGCTCATTCGACAGGGATTTCTTGGACGAAAAGATGAAAGTATCGAACACACGCTTATCAGTGCCGGGATTGCCACGGTAGATCGAGAGTTCTTGACCAGCGACGCGCCTTTCGTGCAGGAGCTGCTCACTCCGTTCGAAGTGCACGAGCTGCTCGAGGCGGAGCGGCACGCAGACACATACGAGCGTGGTATCTGGAAGGCGGTGCATGTTGCGCGTCGACAAGAGCAGCTCGAGCACGCTCGGCAACAGCTGTTGCGCAATGTCGTGGAGCCAGCCGCGAAATTGGCATCTGCAGGTGCCAATCTTACGGAGCACGCAAGAGCCGCAATCGCCTCCGTGTCCGAAGCCACTGCCTCTGCAACTCAGTCTGTACTCCAACGCGGTGCAGCACTCTCAGACGCAGCCAAGTCGTCGCTGACTTCAAGCGTCGATTCTGTCAAGTCAGCGGGTGCCTCCTTGTCCGATGCGGCAGCCAGTGCCGCTGAGGCCATGAAGAAGGCTGCCAGCTCTGCCACATCATCTGCCAATGCAGTTGCAGGGGCGTCGGCCAGTAAACTTGGCAACGTTAGAGCCGATGTTGCCGAGCGCGCTAAATCCGCTGCCGATGCAGCGGCGGAGACTGCAGCCAGTGCTGCGGCTGCACTCAAGCAACACAGTGCAAAGATGGCCGAAAGCGCCCAAGCAGCAGCATCTGTCGGAGATCGAGCGGTTTCCGCTGCATCGAGTGCCGCCGCCGCGCTCAAGCAAAGCAGTTCAAAGATTGCAGAAGGCGCCATGGCATCCGTCACTGCAGCATCGCAAAGCGCGCGCACTGTGGCCAATGCTGCTCAGAGCACTTTGGGCACGGCTGCTTCGGCTGCCAATTCCGTGTGGAGCGCAGCGGCCAAAGCCCTTTCACGGCAAGGTCGCAATTCCCAACCCAACAGCGATGCTGAAGCATCAGACAAGAATCAAAAGCCGCCGCAGCAGCAGCGGCCCAAAGATTGGCCGTGAGCATTAGGTGGTCGGCGAACATGCACGAGGAAATAAACATTGTATTTCATGATGAAACAAAAAGTTTCACGAAAAAGGGGATTCAACTCTTCGAAGAGGTCAAAGAGAAAAAGAGTTCAGGGTTCTTAACAAAAAAACGCGGTCGAAAACCAAAAAGAAAAAAAGGGTGTCACAACAATCCAACATATTCAATCAAAAAATTAGCCA